ACAGCTAACAAATCATTAACATCACTAAAATAACAGAAACCCTATTAATTATATCAACGGTAGATAATGAAAACCTCCCTACCCCATATTTTTTCGTAAACCACATAACTCCGGTGTCTGAGCAATATACATATGTCTAGAGAGATTTTAAAGTATATCTCTATATTCAACCTATAAATGATTATGGATTCTATGCATCTTAGTTATTAAACTGTTATTTTCCATTGTAAAGTTTACTACAAAGAGATTAAGAGATTTTCATCGCCTGTCATAGATAGCTCAAAAGTTTTTACACTAATTTAACAAAGGGAAAATTCATCAAATTACTCACTAATTTAATTTTTTTTAAATGTTATACGACGACCAACGGACGTTGATACCTAATTATTTAAATATAATATCAGATTTAGAATTATTAAAACTATAGTAAATGTATTTAAGGTTATAAGCATAGGCTTTATACATCCATGAAATATTTTTATATTTCACTTCTTTCACATTAGTACTATGAAATAGCTTTTTTAACAATAACATTGCGTTGATTAGGTGAATTTTAAATACTTTTTTTTCAAACTTAAAAACAGTTTAAATTTAGTTAGTAAATTTCATTTATTTAATTTCCTTGAAAAAATGTGATTTCCGTTAAATAATATTAGTTAACACAAATTATTATTTATAATAATCTCTCTCCATTACTTTCTATATTTCATATTGTTTTTTTCTAAAATTATCCTCTTTCCAACGATATAACTTCTGACAAGTATTTCCAGAAATTCATTTTCATCCTCAATACACATTTTCCCTTTTTTCTCCATTTTTCAATTATCAAATTCTTTCATAAGTTATATTTAGCATTTTTTTCGTAATTCTTAATAATGAGAGATGGTTAATTATTAAAAATTAATCAAATTAAAGGTACTTTAGAGGATGAAATGTTGAACATTTAAGCTATGTAAAGTGACATTAATGGGAATAAGACCTCAATGATATTAAAGACCACTTAATTACACAATGATACACGAGTTTAATCAAATTTTTTTCAAAATCAACATTTTCTGTGCAACCAACTTTCTGTCTTTCAGTAATAACAAACAAATCATTATAAACTACAAAAATTAAATGAAGATATTATTTGCCATTAAATGAATTATGGAAGTTTGTTAGCGGAAGGGTTCATATAAATAAAATTAAATAAGATATAATGAAATATAACATATTATATCTTTGAACATTTTTACATAATATATTTTAAACATCAAAACTTTTAATCCATTACTTGTTATTTTTCATAACTTATATATATTTATTATAATATTTCCATATATTTGCTATTTTGTACTTATCATCTTTTTGTGTGTCAGGTATATACATCATAACCTTTCGTACTTATTCATTACCTTTTATTATAATAAACTAAGCTGTTGTTAATTCATCTAATTACATTTTATTATTCATATATAATTATTCCATTTTATGTTTCTTCTTCATTGTTTATTTCCGTTTTATAGTTGAATTGAAATACTTTATAAAACCAATTATGTCAAGTTCCACTTTTGGTAATATTATTTCAGCCAACAATTTGCCCTAACAACGCTGTCATACTCTTATCTACCTTAATAACGAAGTATAATCACTGAACTTTTCATTTTTTAGCTAGATTCTGCATTTACAAAAAAAAAAAACATTAAGCAAAAAGTTTTTTTATGGAGGGGAGGACTTACAGAACCCTACATGTTTTTCAATTGAAAACTCAGAGTTGAAATTTTTAATGATCCCAATACTTCGCATTACATTAAAATAAAATATCCATTTTCACATATTATTTAGTCAATATAAAAAAAGTTCAAAATTTATTTATTTTTTAACCTATGCTTACTCTACTTTAGAGAGTTGAAAACAAGTATTCATTATTTTTTTAAAATGATCAGTTTATCAGTTTCTTTTTTAGTGCCCATATTTGTATCGGTCTGTCAACTAATTTAACATTTCACAGACATTAGTGTTAATCTATATCTGTTTTTTTTAATCTTTCTATATCTTCAGTTCAAATAAAACCGAACAACTCGCAAAATTACTAACCTAGACTCTAACAAAGTTGCATTAATAACATTTTAAGCACATATTGAAACACCATAATACAATACTATATTTGTAATTAAATGACTGTATCATGGTTAGAGACTAACATCATACAGTACCAAATTTTATGCCTACCTCAATAAATAATCAGCCATTACTTTCTTTTACTGACTACAACATATATCATTATTTTTGGTGGTAAATTTCCAACATTTTTGGGTGTTTACATCGTATCACTTTGGAGATATTTAACCTAAGCCTAAAAAAGTTATATTTGTATAAAACATTGTCTGATTAAAATAACAATTAAGTCTAAGTGTGGAAATTTTAACCACATAGTGAGACTGCCTTTGTTTTGTTATTCGCATTTTTAATTTTAGAATTTTGACATATACCTAGCATTTATTGGTTATTTACAGATAAGTTGTAATATATATGTTTGAAGGGAAATGATAGAAGATGTTATTTATAATACATACAACCCATATATTTACAAAATATAATAAATCATATACATAAACTAAATTTAATAATTATAATGTTGCTAGAAAATTAATCTTTATATCTTAACTTTGTTATTATTATACAAAATAGAAATTCTATTAATGAACAAATAAATATTTTTAGGTTCAAATATACAATACAAAATATAAATGAATTAATACAACATACAAATTAATGAATACAAGATATGTTTTTGTTTATACAAAATCTTGAATAAAGGAATATAACATTACAAATAAAGCATTTTTAAATGCATCAGAAAAAGCTGAATAATAACTAATGATTATTCTAATAATTTACTGGATTATTCTCCATCTTCTTCAAACACCTTTAAAAAGGCTTTATTAATAATATCTCTTTTCGGAGGTACAACCTTACTAGTATTTACAGAAAAAGTGTCTGTTTTATATTTTTTAAATGGCCCAGCATGTTGCTGGAAAATCACTCTTTTTGGTGCATTCGCAATACCACGGGCACAGGCTGCCATTTTGTTTAAACTAGTGCTGGTTTCAATATTACAAATATTTTTATTCCACAAAGTCCACACACATCTTCCCCAAGCCTAGTTCCATTTCACATATGCACAAACTTTGTTCTGGTTGAGGTAATTGGTCCAACCCTTCTCCTAACATGGACCCATAATTCTGTGCAATTGTTTTGGGTTTATTTGTATTTCCGCACTGTTTTTCTATTATTTGGACGAGTTTATTGAACGGGGCTATAATTTCCTCTTCGCCTTTGTTTGATTTTTTTTTTTTTTGTCTTAGGCTGCAATACATACCGTTGTTCAATAAAGATGAATCATCGAGTACCTGTTCAGCCTGTCCTTCATGTTCACACTCAACAGTAGGGGAAAGCTGAAAAAAAAATTACCAATTTTAGGCCTGGTATCATCCAACTAAAAAATCAGATTTTTTAATTTCGTTATAATTATTTCCCTTCTATTTTTTGCCATGCTTATAACACATTTAGTTGAGATTTTCATTTTTAGAGGAGGGTCTATGTCTGGCACACTTTAAGACTCAATTTTACAGAGAACAAATAAAAGCTATGTAACATTTACATTAATAATGAAAGTCGAGGAAAAAACAAAACTAATCCTTAATTGAAATAGGAAACAATGGAATCAAATTCATAACAGAAGAAAATAAATAATTTGTTATGGGTAAACAGATAATGTGGAGGGTTAAGGAAACAAGACAGAATGGCTAAGGCATCATAGGGCATTTTCTCTTTATAGTCATTAACCTATGTACCATGTTTTGCTATATGAAAAAGTATTAAAAAAAAATAACTTAATCATAGACTAGGAGGGATATCGAAAACTAACAATGAACTTCCAATTAACTAAATATAAATAACCAGTTAAATGCTAAATAATTAACACCCCTTGTCCATTGTTTCCTTTGCGATGATGTACTTAAGTTGGATGTTTGAAAAGAAAATAGAACTAAATTAACTTACTACAGCCTTAATTGATTGTTTGAATTGAAAAATAATACAGTAACACTTGCAAATTTAGTAAAAGAGGAATTAACCATTCACTAAATTGTAAAAAATGTCTATATAATAAATCAAAGAACCTCATAAATAAATGGAGAAAAGAATTTTTAAATACATTCCTTGAATCAAACAATTGAAAAAATATTGGCAGCTTATTGCAAAGTAATTAAGTGAAAATTCATTATTTCTTTAAGTAATTAAGAACTTTGAATATCTTTTTCTTTATAAAATCAGAAAATTGTGTGCTTCTTATAATTGATGTATAAAAGGGTTTGTTTCATTTCCATGCCCATATGTTTTTGTATAGGTAAATAAAGTCAAAATTCATAAAAAAAAAATCTTGAAAGTTAACCTATATCAAATATGCACATAGTGCATGAATTGAATGCAGTAAACGGAGGATATATCAAGAATTTTCACTGGTTAGAGAATTAATAATTGACTATGTTTAACGGAAGAAAATTGACAATCCTAGCAATTGTGTGTGAAAAATTACATAAAATCGCGTTAATTAGCTTTACAGAAATATATTTTGAAAAACAAGGTAAAATGTATTTATCGAGAAATGTCATGGCAAAGAAATAAACAACTGATATTAATAAGGAAAACTAAGATCAATTTTATGCTTACCTTGTATGATTCTCATGAATTTTCGACATCTGCCATCTTCTTTGTTTTCTCCACTTATTTTCTTCTACTTGCTTTTTTTTTATAGAAGACATAACCAAAAGTAGCAGTCAATCCCACGGCAATTCTAGAAGGGCCATGTTGTTTGCTTGGATTGACTCCGTCCTACTGAGCACATTTTCCATGGTTAACGAGCTTCGATTAGTTCCTTAATTTGCCGCAAGTTTGCCAGAAATTTGGCCAAACCGAGTTTGCCTGTAGTGTGGGCCCAGCATCAAGGTTCTGTATTTCACAGTTCCTCTAGGGACGACTTCCTAAGCAGTGATCGCTGAAAGTTATAATTATTAACAACTGGTGTAATCTATAAGACAGGTAACGTTTTTATTAACTAATTATTTTTAATAATTGTATTTGATGTATTTATATACAACATATTGCATGTATTTATGCATTTATATACAATATATTGCATGTATTTATGCATTCTGTGCAAAATTTAAATGGATTATTATCATTAAGTATTTATTGCTAGAATCGACGAGATTTGACAGGTCTGAAATTTTTCCTAGCCCCTAGTTCATCAGCCCCATCTTCCATCTTCCCTCCTACAATAATCTTCAACACAGTTTTATAAAAGTATTTTAGAAAATGTATTTCTAAATACATTTCATTGATTTAAAAGTCAAAATAATCTTAAAGTAGATGCGAATTTTAGTTATTCTTAAAGTAAATTGACAACTGAAATGTGAGCCCCCCTCAATTCCTGATGGGGAAGGGGTAGTACCCACTTTGCCTTTCTTACCCTAATTCTGCCTTGAGGTAAGACATGGGAATACTGTAAATAGTTAATAATACTAGAGGTAATATCTTTCTCAGCAGGTTGCCCAGCAACCGGGATCGAAGATAATTTGATAAAATAATTACAGGAGTTCGCTTCTCTGTGCCCAAGGGGTGTGGGAAAGGAGAGCTTTTAACTCAGGTATTAATCCCATGCTATCACCCTCTGGCCCAGGAAAATCCTGTATAGCCTAAAAGACAAGGAAGGGAAGGACAAAAAAAAATTACCATTAAAGATTTTAAAAGTAATCATTTTTTTATACTTCAACTTAAAGAACCAATTACTATTTAGTTAGTTTTAACTATGATAAATTAGGTAAGTACCAAAATTTCATTAACCAACGGAAATTTGTTTTATCATTTACTGTCCCAGACTTAGAAATATTGAGCAGAGAAATTAGGTAGTATACATCTTAAACAAAACATTATGCCTTTATAGAATGTGGACTTACACCAATTATATTTGTAATTTAAATTTTTAAAAAGATATAAATTTTGAGAGATTTTTGTTAAAAATTTATATAAAGTATTATGACTCATATAAAGTATTATTTAGAGTCAATACCAACTCTTTCAGGATAATTCATAAGGACTGTTTCTGCTTATTTGCACATAAATGTACATAAAACCAATTGAAATAACTTGATAGATATGAAATTTAAAAATCTTCCTTTTGCTCAAAGCCATTTAATTAATTTAGAAGATGTGTCATTCACTTATTTGTTGTTCCGTGTCCTCGCCGAGTCATAGCCATGAAAATCCATTTTTTTTTTCTTGAGTTTCTTTTAATCATTTTCATTCGGAGATGTGAGGGGTGAGGGATTGTCCCAGAGTCCCCTATTGCAGTGAAATTAGGATGGGTAGTGTAATGAGGATGGATGACTGCCGTTCAGCAAAGAAAATTAAGGAGGAAAACGACCTAGAGGAAGACCAAGAATTACTTGGGAAGATAATCTCAAGAATATTCTTAAAGATGGAGGAATTGGGTGGCCGAAGCCAGGAGAGCAGTCCTCGACAGAGACGGATGGAAATCCTTGTACAAAAATCTCCACACCAAAAGGTAGAAGAGAATATTGAATAAGAAGAAGAAGATCATTCACTTAAATATTAAATATAACTTTCTGTGATAATTTTTTATTAGGTTCAAACAATTTGTAAATCAGAAATCAACAATTTTATTACAAAATCTGAAAAAGAGACCTTTCATGAATTTATCAAAAGGATGAATTAAAGGATTCTCACAATAAATTATACCACTGATTTAAAAAATATATTAAATGGAGTATATGTGTGTGCATTGTAAATATAAAATATACACTCACACTAAATCTAGGACAAATAAATTACAGTGTAGTTAGGTATCTCAAAACTCAGAAGAAGTAAACAAATTTAACAAGAAATATATGAAATTCTTTTCGCTATAATTTTACTTTATTTTTAATTTAAGCTATAATAATGTACTTTTGTAAAACGAAAAGTTGATTTATGTAAAGAAAATCTTATTGAAATTGAGGAAAACCTTTTATTTTCACTTACACCCATACAGAATATTTAGTAAGGGAAACTATTAGCATGTGAAAGATTTCGAATTTGTGTTTTAACACAAATACATGGTTTTAAATACACGTTAGAAAGATAATCACAGTCGAAATAACCAAGTCCTTGCAAAATTATCATTTTGTAAGTGAACCGCCCATCTCAAAAACGAAAACTTGTACGAAACTGAAATTAAGAATTTTAAGTAGATTTATGTCTGAGGAAAACTGGGTGTTCTTCCAGTTTGAATACAAATTTTCAGAATTAAGAGTCATAATATGTATATTCATATGTAATATATGGTTGGAAAGTTGAGTATTTTAGATGGAATATATCAGATATTAATATATAAAGTCGTTGAAGATAGTGATTAAAACCAAATGACTCTTAATTCCTACTTTTGTATTACTTAAACTTTTAAAATTTATTTCAAGCTTGAGAAACTAAAATATACAATGCACCGAATTGCATTCCATCATTGCTTAAAAAATTATTTAATTATAATTTTGTAAGAGAAGAATAGGAGAAGTGTGTGCTCCTATAAGTATATCAAGTAGTATTTTTGGATGGGAAAAAAACAAATTGTTGTAAACTTAGATACTTTAATAACTTAGGGTCTTATAATAAATTTAAGTATTAGTTTTACTAGTTTAAAATTTAATTATTATTAGTTTAAATATTAGTTTAATATTAAAAATATTAATATCTTCACAAAATAGGGTGGTAAATGAAAGTTATTCGATGTCCACACAAGTGCTTTCTGTTTGTATATAAAATTTTATCTGTAAAAATTATTAAATTATAAAAACTTCAACGATAGCAGTATAGCAGTATTTTTTTTCTTTTTTGTGTGTGAAGTAAACTAGTTTCTAATGCTTGCTTGAAATACTAAATTGGCACGTTAATTTTTGCTTGACCACAAAATTAATGTACTTGGTAAGAAAGAATCCATAATTTGCAAACAATTTTCTGGGTTTCTTAACTCCAAAGCCAGTATATTACGGTAGTGAGAGGATTGTGCTGATTATATCAACTTGTAAGAACACTGTTAACTTGACAATCAGGAAAAGCGATGTAAGTTTTTTAAAATAATATGTGTCGAATGCATAAACTTTAGTTGTTTTATTATAAAAGTCTTCAGCATTATTATATGATATTCATTAGTTGATGATAATTGTTTTTTTATTGTTGAATATTGTAAAAATGAAGGATTATTGAATGAGGTAGGACTGATTGTTTACGAATATTTCGTTGATCTCTCTTCTTGAATTTTGATCCAATTGAGTTGCTCAGGTGGCACTAATTTTTCTGCTTTAATATCACTTTCAAAAAATTCATCCCAAGTTTGTTAATTTTATTCGTTTGTTACTAATATATTCTTTTCTTAACAGGTATCTCAACATGGCAACACAACTCGAAAGTTTATTGCTTCCAATGGCTAAACTGACAATTTCTAAAGAAAATGATGGACAACTACCACTTGAAAATTATTTTCCTCCTTCCTTTGAAATACATGATTACAATGCTACAGAAAATAAAATTATCACAACATCTTCTCTTGATGATGATGTCAAAAATTGGCTTCGCAGACGTGCTAATAAAAACTTTGTATTCCAGTGCTTATTATGCTGCCAGGAAATGACTTTTGATACAGCCTTCTCAAGGGGGGACTATATTTTTAACAGAAGTCATCTCTTGACAAAGAAACACAAGAAAAAAGTGAATGATGCTTTATGTGTCGGAATATTATTCGTTTCATCACAAAAGTTCATCATGTGCCTTGACAGCATTTTACAGAAAGGAAATCTTTTTGATGCTCTAAAAACTGTTAAAAGGAGAAGTGAATTAGTGATTAGTAATCTGATCAGAAATAAAATTTCCTGCTCAAACTATTCCATGTTTACTTTTGACAGAGCATCAAAATCCTTATGTGAGATGGATACAAAGTGTGATATTGTTGATTTTATGATAAGTGATGTCCGACCTCTATTCAATTTCCACTGTTTACTGTGTGACATAAAAACAGGGAATTTTACTCAAGTTGTCGATCATTTAGGAAGTAAGAAACACAAACAAAAATTGAAGGAAAACAAAGGTGTTATTATTTCCATAAAGGATTTTAATTTTTTTGTTGCTTGTAATTTGAATGAACTGTCAAGTTTTCTTTTCTTAGAACACTTGAATAGCTATTTAGAAGAGATAGTGATAGCTTCTACGGGCACTATTATCATTTCAGGATGCCACTCAGCAGATGGAAAGCAAGCTCCTAAAGAGGGAGAGATTACCATCAATGTAAAACCTATCCAATTGCCCGATGGTGCCATAGCTCAAAAATCTATTAGAGTAACAACAAGATATAACAACTTTTTATCAGATTCATCTGAAAATGGAGTTTTAAACAATAAATTGGCAATAGGAGAGTCCAGAATAAATAAGCAAGAAAATGTTACTATTTATGAATATTCTAATCAAGATTTTCATGAGCATTGTATGGATAATATTTTGCATGCATTATTTACTATCGGTTGCAAAATATGGTGCTCGCGTTGCAAGAAAGGAATCTTTACATTACAAGCTCTACAAACTCATTTATCTTCTGTTGAACATACTAAAAATATACGGAACAACGAGCAAATAGGATTTATGTGTCATGTTTGTAAAATATTTTTTATAGAATTAAAAGGAGAAAGTTTAGTTCACACACATTCTAGTTATCAAAATAAAAATATTATACTAAAACTTTCTCAAGGTGGTATAAAATCTCTCGAGTTCAATACACCACTAAATAGCAGTATCATTGAGGCTTATGGTAAAGACTTCCTTGACAATATTGGAGAAGCATGTAAATTTTGTTGCCTGGCTTGTAATGATTTCACAAAGCAAACATTACCATATTTAGGTTCTCATGAAATAAGTACCCGCCATAAGAATCTTAAAAAAACATTAATTTATGCCAAATGTGAATATTGCAATGTCATCTACATTGACACTAAGCTTGACAATATTTCTGGGCAATTCAAGTTACATTTTGCAAAACATCTAAATGACAATAAAGAACCGATAATTTACTTGATTTATAGTGTACTCGACAATTATACAACTTGCTTTCAATCAATTATTGATAAAAATTTCTTCTCATTCAAAGATATTGAACTTGAAGAAGAAACTAAATCTTTAAATGGTCGTCAAAAATTGACTGTTTCATTCAGCCAAAATTTTACTCAGTTCGATAACCCCGGAGTTTCCTCCAATGAATTTGTAAGAAATGAAAGATGGAATAGTGATGATTTTTCCCGATATTTACAATTTTATACCAGTTTAACTGGAGAAAGAGTTGAACTTTTTGAATGCAATATTTGTAATTTGAAAAATACTACCAAAACTGAAATATTCAGACACCTGTTCATTTCTGAGCATCAACTTAATCAGCTCTATACAAAAGAAAGTTTTCTCAAGATTTGTAGCATTTGTAGTCTGGCAATTTTTAGTGGAAATTTAAGAGACTTACAACAACATTTTAACCAAAATTGTCACATAAAAGCATTATATACAGTTATAGGTAAGTAATTCATAAATAGTCCTAATACATTATTTTATAACTCTTATTTTTTTTTTTTTTATTTCAATATTATGAACTTCTTTTAAAATAAATATACAGAGTCTAAAATGTTTCAGAATATATTTTTCTCATCATATTTAAATGCAACCAATTTGATATCGTAGCTTAAAAAAAAAAAAAAATCCCTTGTTAAATAGTTTGTTTGATAATTTTTTTCCATTTTGATAATTATATTTTATGTGTGACACTATTAAAAAAAATTTATTGCATCTGAAAGGGAATTGGATTATCTCTTGAGTGTGCAAGGCATGCTAAAATTTATGGTTGTGATCTACCTTTAGCCACATTAATTTCAACAATCACCAATAAGCACAATGGATTACAACCATAGTAAAAAGGTCGAGATTCATTTTGGTTGTACCTCATAACGTAACAAGCTTAATAATTATTTTGATTAATTGATAATTATGAAGGAACTATATTATAAAAAGTAATGTTTTGATATATATTTTTATTAATACCTTTGTGAATAAATTATAATTATGAAATTCAATATAATAAATTATAAATATATTATTTTTTAATGTATTAGTGTGGATTGTATGTATTTTTAGATGCCACAATGCTAACAATTTTGTAATTGTAATTTAGATAAATTAAAAAAATTACAGCCAGAAGGAGGAAGCTTTAAACTTCCATTTCTTTTAAAAGATTTTTAATTAAAATAATATAATTGAGTTTTATTTACGTAATTGACTAAATAATAACTTGTTCTTCAATTACCTAGATCTTTCTATGCTTACGTCAATGTCAAACTGTCGGGTCCAATTTTCCTGATTTTGATTTAATTATTGTGTGAGCATTATTCTGGCCATATTTTCTTAGTAAATCGTAAATAAGATAAAAGGGCGAAACGTGAAACGCTTAAGATATAAAGATTAGCCATTTTCCACAAGATGCAATACATTGAGATCTGAAACATTTTTTTCTCTACTCTAAACTTTACAGCAGTTTATCTTTGACGTACATCAAAATTTTTATACTTGGTGGCTAAAACTGTTATTTTATTGTCATTTTAGGTTTGCCTTATACTGCTGCCCTCACGTTTAATGAGACAATTTTGAGTTCATTCATGAATATTCCAAGAAGTTCATTGAAAGCAATTATCCAAAGAATTGTTTGTGAAATGAAGGAAATTTATAGAAACCGTCAAAACATTTTTGATCATATAACTAAGGATACTTTAGCATTGATGTCAAATAAATTTCCTAATTTGTCAGTTACTTTCTATGGATCCCGTTTGTCAGGTCTCGCCAAATTCGAAAGTGATTTTGATATTTTCTTGAACATAGGTAAGTAACTTGATATTAATAACAACAGCTAAATTTGTCCATTATATACTGCATGATCATTTTTTTTTTCTTCATATTTTCCCATGAGGTAGATTCATTAAAAGTTACTTTGCCTTTGAGTTGATTCTCTTTATGTATTATTTCTCAAAGATTATTTTTTGTCAATATTCCATATTTTCCTTAACTTTAAATACAAAACAATGATTGATCCATAGCTTTGAAGATTACTTTCTCCATTTTGAAAAAAATAAGTACATTGCTCATAAAAAGCAGTAAAAAAGAAAAGTTTACTTGATCATAACTCAACATGTATTTAATTGATGGTTGATTATACACATAATCGCTTGAAAGGTGATGAAATACCATACAATTTCGTATTGCAATAGAAAGGAATTATTAAGGGTTTTAAGTATAACCATGGAAGGAAACCAAAGGTCTTAAGGACAATTTTCCTGGGCTCTTTTCGAATATTATATTTACCACTTAAACTTTACCAAAGCTTTTTATAATTTATCTAACAAAAATGTTTTATAAAAATATCACATGATTATATAATATACAATGGTATGTAAAAGTGTTCAAACAAACCAATTCTTTATAAAAAATGATAAACGTTTCAATTTAAAAGTGTTAGTAACTTCTTAATTGTTAACTCATATAATCTTGCAGCCATTGTGGATGCAATACATATTTTTAAATTAGCATTATTTTCAATTAACAACAAGCAAAGTGGCCAATCCTTTTTGTTGACGTTTTTTTATTCTCTGAATAATGCTACTTTATTGTTTAAATTTCATTAAATTATTATCCATTTCAGTCTCTACTTTTTATTTTTAACATAAAGAGCCATTGTATAAACTCAAGAAAACTGAGTATTTCTGATAAAATCGTTCCTTTTTTTCTTCCATCCACTTATTCAGTTCTTTGGTAAACGAAGTCACTTTTGCTTGTTAAGAGATCGAAAAAAATCAAAATAAATTTTTTTGATGACAATGAATTCCAGAAATAGAACCTTCAATTTTTTTTTTTTTTTTTTAATTTTCCTAATTGTAAATCCTCATTGACCCGAAATTATAATTTTATGTCGGCCAATGATATGTTATTTTGACATCTTCTTTAATAAAATTAACATCAAATATAAAACAAAAAGAAATCGTTAAATATGGAATGTTAAATTAAATTATTGTAAAAAAAGTGAAGAATACCAATGTTAAAACAATTTTTACTGACACACTCAACTTCCCGAAATTTATACAATGGATTTTGATGTTTACAATAAAGAATATAGACTGGATTAGGTTTAAGTCAGTTTACAATTAAGAAGATAAAAAACAGTTTTAAATCAAAACATTTATCTTTAAAAAAAAAAAAAAAAAAATGAGTTGTTCAAAGACGACCTCTTCACACCACTGTGTGTGTTGTTAACTATACCTTATTTCAATGTAAATTATTAAATAAGTTAAAAATTAAAATCTTAAAGACGAAGGTGGCCCCTGCTGTCCCTCTCTCTCCTCATGTCGGGCCTGGTATTAATTCTTCTTATACTTAAGTGGTTTGATATGCTAATCCCAATCCTTTATTAGATCAAAACCAACATGAGTATTTGGAACCCACAAGAATGTGGTGACCATCATATGGTGACTTAATGAAGTTTTGTGAAATCACTTAAAATACATAGTTAACTGTCTATATCGCTTTGACTGTCGAAATCTTATAGGGCAAGCAAATGAGAGTTCAGAGAGATGTAAGTAATGTTTATAACTATTTCCTAGAATTAAGAGGGGATCACTGTTGTGTAGGCAATCTAGAACTCGAGTGAGGATTTCAGTAATTTTAGGAGAAACCTTTATAGACTTAAAAAGTGGAGGGGAGGGAAGACAGGATTCTTCTGAGCTCTCGATTATGTGCCGAATAAAGTTACTATCAATTTATAATTCTATGTAATTAGATAGCGCAAGTAGCGGATGGCTGTAACTGAGATTTAAGATAATATTACCAAAAAATTTGTTAATAACAAAACTAAAAAAAAAAAAAAGTCTGCCAAGTAAGGTCGGTACTGCTTCCTCACCATTTTCATTGGCTAAACAATTACCTTTATTTCAAGGTCTATAATTTTTTGTTTGAGAATAAAATCTCCAGGAGAATTCGTTTTTGGAAGTACATTAATCCTTCAACATTCACGGGTTTGTTATTGATATCAACGAGTTTTGTTCATCAGCCGAATACAGAAGATTTTGACATTTGTAAATTTTGTATTTGGCTATTCGTTATTTAAAAAGAAATCAGTATATATTAAACATACATATATACTTAATAGATATGTTTTCACTAGGTTTTTCATCAAACAGAACAAATTTAATTTAAGGTGGAATATATATATATGAGTGAAATTTACAAAACTTTATTGATTGATACTAAGCAATTTCTATAATATTCTCCGAATTTTCTCTAAGCGTGGGTCATACCGAATGAACCGTTTTTAAACTATAGGAGTGTCATTAATAATATGTATACATTGAAATATAATTTATGACCACAATTGAATTTATGAAATGTTACAGATAATTATTGTTCTTCATTCAACTATAATGTTGCAGGCAATGATAATTTGAATAAGGTTAAAGATTTGTTATCCGCTCAAAACAATCTATTCAGATTTGTTTGTTTTATTGACTGTGCCGTTCCAATCATACAAGCAGAACACAAGACTACAGGATATCTCTGTGAATTCAATCTGAATAATCCTGGAAAGCATGTTAAAACCAGTAAAATAATCAAGTAAATATTTTATATTTATCAAAACTTTTTAGAATACATTTTTTATTAACTCTCTAATACATACAACATCAATGTACAGAATGACCTAATATAGAGAAGCTAATTTTTTAATATTTTTTCAAGACTTATTTAGAATAAACTCGTAATTTGTACCTTAAGGGCGATAAATATTCAGTACGAAGTCATAAAAAATCTGGTGCACGCAACACACAACTTTCACTTACCGCTCTACTTTGAATAAAAATTATTTTCTGGCAATGCTGGGCTATTATAAAATTTTTTGAAGTGCATTTTAAACGGAGCTAAAGCTTAAAGCTTACCGATAACAAATCATTAACACCATTAAAATTGTAAAAAGTCTATTTACTATATCGACGGTAGGCAATAAAAATGTAGTTACTTCATCTGCTTTTTATAAACTACACAACTTTCTTTGCTTTTATAAACCACAGAATGACTAACTCCAATTTCAACATTTTTGAGTAAAAATTTTATCCAAATTGTCGCCTCTTCAGGGAAAAAAACTAGAGACCATATCTTTTCTCCTAATTGTCCAATTTTTTTTTTTGTTTTTTTAGGAAATTCCATAAACTTTTAAAAAACCAAATACAATATCCCCAAAAAATTGTATACTTTTTGAGTTATTCGGAATTTAATTTTAACATCCCTCGTAACTTTTTTTTCCAGCTTCTTTTCGTTGAAGTATGTTATATAGAAAAATTTAAAGGGTATCGAGAAAATGACTTTAGCGAAGTTTCATTGAAATCGGTACATTCGTTTATGACATCAACAAGGATAAGATCTAAATGATATTACAGACCACTTAATTATACAATGATACACTGAGTTTGATCAAAATCGTTAGAGCCTTTTTTGAGAAAATTGTAAAAATGTGTTTCAGCGTTCATATAAAGTGGCACTTCCGGTTAGCTGATTTTAACGAAAAATTTACTGTCACATCTGGCCCATGTACAAACCTTAAATACTTAATATCAGTTTCGTAATAGTTTTCGTTTATGAGCTAGACTGTTAACACACACACAGACCATTTTGCGACACTTGGTTATTTGGACTCAAAGGACCTCAAAACATGTATTTCCGTTGAAAACTGAAATTCGAAAATTTTCACGATCGCAATACTTACCCTTACTATATATTACATATATACTTAAGTGAAAGTAAAAATTTTTATTTATTTATGCTGACGTTTCAACCCAATACTTAATCACCTTTAGTGCTCAAACCACGCCCTGATGATGACCCACATGTTTGGGTTGAAACGTCGGCACAAATAAATAAAAAAATTGTATAATGACTGCGTGCTCAATATTTATCACCCGTGATATATTGAACAGTCGATTAGCTTCCTTCAGTAATTTACCTTATGTTTAAGAAACGTAAAAGTATTTGATATAATTGGCTATTTGATTTATTTATAAACAAAATTGATGGGTTCAACTTATTAATTTAGTTAATATAATATTTCATAATATATATAATATTAATTTAGTTAATATTTCAGGATCCTGACTGATCTTGATGAAAGAGTGTTGTGGTTGTTAGCTGCAGTGAAGCATTGGTCAATTGCTACAAAAATTAAAGGTACCGACATGTTTTCTAGTCATGCTATTACTTGGCTTACTCTTTTTTACCTCATGCAACCAGATTTGAGAATCATTCCCAATATTTCTTTTGTTATTGATCAATGTGGTAATCTTGATCATCCCCAGGACAATAGAGGTATGATTTTATTCAAATATTATTTAAAAAGTATTTTAAGCATTTTAAATTCATTTAAGATATGATTATTGGAACTAGTGTAGTCAGAATTTCCTCACTTTTCATTCCTGAGGATTTGTATTGAAATATCAAAAAACGTTAGTAATGCATCATTAATATATCATGTCAATGGTTATTCGCACACATCAAATAGTAAAGTTTTAATGGAGCTTAAATTTCAAGTGCATACTTGTGAATTTCGATCATATGTATCATCGCAAAAACTCATTATGTGCATCGAAATAACAATTATATCCTATTATATGTTAAAAATATATAACACTGAGTACACAATGTTCCAGTTTTACAGAGGGGAAACCCATCAAATACTTTTGTGCTATCAAATGCAAATGAAACATTTTATTAACTATGATCATCTCTAATAATCACATCTTTGATTTTACCTGTAAGCCAGGATGAGCTAGATAACTGTGGCCTTTCTAGGATTTTAGGTTTTGACTTTTTTTTTTTAAATAAGCATTTACAAAAATTATTGATGGAATCGAATTGATTTAACGTATTTAGATCAGAAAACACCATACTTAATTTTAACTACATATTTTTATTACAATTACTTAGTTTTTCTTTTCTTGATCCATTAAGTACGCAGTAAAATAACTTAATTTATTTCATCCAGGTTGTCTTCTTGGCTTACATCTCTTTGTTCTTAGGATCGATTTTCCCACGTGTTTAGTGTTTGAGGTATTCTTTCCAAAGAGGCTTTTTTCTCACATTACTGTTTTAACCTCATCAGACCACCATACTGTTCTCTTGTACAGGGCTCCAATTGTACTTTCGCACCAAATTTCATTAGCCAAGTAAAATGTTTTAAAGATATTCAATCCGGTTCATAGGAATAAATAGAACAGAAAGAACATAAAACATAGAAGTCATATTTTTAAATTAAAATATTTAGCTTTAGCACTCTATCAAACTTTAGATCTCAATGTACTTTACTGACTCTACTGACTTGATTATTTTAAAGTTCAATGCATGAATACTTTAGAAATGAGTACCATTTATACCAACAGTTACTTAATGCCCTTTATTCAATTGTTAATAGATAGTGTGATATTGAATCAGCTGCTCTTAATTTTTACAGAATATGTTATTGAATGGAAGCCAAAAATAAACAAAGATAAGACATGGTTGGATCTCCTTGAAGGGTTTTTCAATTACTATTCTTTAATGAGATTCTCAGAGTACAAATTGTTTCCATCCAGTGGTTTAGCTGTTCCCAGAATTCATGGAACACAAGAAGATGACCATCCTATGTTCATGCAAGATCCTTTGTATGAAGAAAGAAACATTTTGTTCAATGCCACAAAAGAGAAATCAGAAAAACTGACTGCTGCGTGCTATCGTTCACTACATTTGCCATGGAGACTAAATGACTGATTTCTGTGATATTATCAAGGCTGAATATTTTTATAGTTAATGTTATCTTTTTAATATTTTATATATTTACATTATTATACTTACATATTGAATTTTAAGTATAAATGAAATTTTATTTATATCCTTTTGTTACCTAGATTGTAGGAGTTCTTACCCATCTAATTATATTTGTACTTGTTTTTAATGAACAGTAGTTAATTATTTGTTGTTTTAATTTGTATTGATTGTTATGTATCTTTATAATACTTGTTCAACATACAACTTATGTTTAACATTACATATAACTTTATGAAAGGATTTATTTTAAAAATGTTTAAAATTAATGTATTTTGTGACGAAGTCATTATTATTTTTTCAACAAAATAAAGTATTATAAAAATAAATCAAAGTACAAAATAAAGAGCTTACCAATATCTCCTTCCTTTTCTTCCCAATGATCCAAAATATCTTTTATCTAAAATATAAATATAATTATAATTATAGCATTTGTAAAGGGTAAATTTAAATTTGTAAATCAACTTAAATGTAAACGATGAATTATTTCCATTTGAACAACAAGAGTTAATAGTTATTTGTAAAAAGATAACATAAAAATATAAAATTCTTTCTCTAAAACCTCTTTCTCTTGAACAATTATAGAATTGTAGGATACTAAATGTTGATGAATAATAACCTTAAAAAAGGATAGACATTGATGATCTCAGGATTTTATGCCTCTGAGCCCTAAACAACAAAAACTTTTAAAAAGTGAAAACTATCGTGGACTACAATAAGTACTCGTATGTTTTACATCTAAACTTATCTGTAATCAAGATTATGTATGTGTCTGATGTTTTATAAAAGGCCATGATGTCTGACCACGTTTGAGGCAAAGTTCACATTGACCAGTTTAGAATATTTTGGGTTCAACTCAATTAGTGCTTGTTTGAGTAAGGTCTCGTGAAAAGAATATTGACTCCCAATCTTTTAAGTGCAGAGGAGGAATCTTTGGATAGATGTTAGAGGGTGGGAAAAAGTCTCACTTGCTAGATTAGTACACCCCACCAGGACCACTACGTACTCTTTTTATAAAAGAATTATTTTGAAAATTCAACCATTATTTTCTATCTTACCCTTTTCTCTTAAAGTTTAAACATTATCATTAAAAATATAATAAGTTGCATTACCTGGTCAGCAGCTTTTTGACATCGATCTGCTAATGCTGCCAGTGGACCGAACACACTGGAAAACTCTGCTGGGCTGAAGATACCGACTTGGCACAAAGGAGAGCCATACAAGGGTAATGCTGATCGTAACCTCGAAATGTATGTTCTTTCACTTTTCTCCCAATTTGAAGAAAGGCCTTTGGTACCCTCTAAAAAAGAAATAAATTCATAAAGCTCTTATAGGTTTTTAAAGTTTGAAAGTTAACTATATACATGTGTGTGTGTGTATATATATATATATATATATATATATATATATATATATATATATATATATATATATATATATTTATATATGTATGTATGTATGTATGTATAAATAATAAAAGTAAACAAATGGATAACTGATGGCTTATTACCAATAAAAAATTATTTATAATTATTATTCAAAATTATTTACACTAAGTGAGTGCTATTATGAAACCTAATCAATAAATAAAACTTGGGAACGTTCCCCTCCCTTATGAAAATCAACAATATCATGTTAAAAGTGAATAACTTTTAGTTAATCAAGGACTTTTTAAAATAAGATTGCATAAAGAATTGAAACAAATTTATCTATATGAATATATTAATATCAAAGACATTGATGCATTTTTTGTTGACTCATTAACAATAAAATATCAATAATTTTTAAAAATTCAATTCCAAGGATATAATGGAATATCTTAATCCTTATTGGATAATGTTAATAAATGTACAAATCATGATTTGAATTAAAGATGATTTATTCAATAGAATTAAAATAAAGTACTTGACAAGTACAAAATATAATATAAATTTTTTAAAAGTTATTTTAATTATATATAAATTCATGGTTGATAGATATCCAGGACGCAGTCATAAAAATTTTTTATTTGTGCCGACATTTCAACTCAAACATTTGGGTCATCATCAGGGCGTGGTTCGAGCACTGAAGGCTTTAAATTACTCGAAATATTTATCGCCCATGATATGTAAAACAGTCGACTAGCTTCCTTCAATATATATAAATTCATATGCAGGGTTAAGAGGCCAAACTGCAAAAATTAACTAAGGACCTCAAAGCAAGACAAAAATTTCCTCTGAAGATATGTCCGCAAAAGGTTTGTTTAAGAGATATTCACACCTAAAGATTTTTGTTATGAATTATTTATGTTATATGAAATAAATAAAGCCTATTTATTTGTTCTAACTACTTTATTAATTAAACATAAACATCAAATTCATATTAAATGTTGTTCAAAGTGAAGGTATGTCTGCAAATACTTTGCTGAGGAGATGGATTAGATAGAATACTAATATGGCCTTTTGTTATCTCTAACTGTATAAAACCTATTGGCAACATAAGGATTAATACTATTTGGAATTAGTATTGGGAAATCTCAATAACATTTACCAGTTTGTAAGAGGCTTTCATAGACTACTCATCATTACGCCTTCCATTTATACTTATGAAATGAAAAAATAATTTTATTCTGGAACTATAATCTCCTAAGAATAATAACATAGTTGCATAATTAAGAACATTAGTCTGGCTTAGATTAATACAAAATGATGCCTAATTGACTGTTGATTGTTATTGCAATTGTGTAGTTGATTGAATTAAACTTTGTACAGACGCAATTGAATTTTACATGTTTGAGGAAGTTTGAATTTGGAGTAGGTGGTGGAACAGGGGTTGTTTGAAGGAATTTGTGGACCAGGATTGGCGTATGGAGTTAGGTAGAGGGTTCCAAAAGGAGGCAGCACGAATGACAAAGGATTTGCTGAAGGAACCAGTTTTATGGGAAGGAATATATAAATCTATAGGTTGAGACCTGGTATTGAGAGAGTGAATATAGGGAAGTAAAGTAATGAGTTCCAGGATGTAGGAAGGGTTCTTGATTCTGAGGAATTGTCATCAGGAAGTAGGATAAAACGACTTCAACTTGGTGTACCTGAATGAAACATGGTAGGAGTTGGAGATTCCAAAGATGTATATTATGAAATAGTTCATGAGCTTCTTTAATCCTATTTCTAGCCTGGCAGATAGCCCTCCATACACCAAGGAGCCGTCGTCGATGTGAGAGAATATAACGGAGATTACAAGGAGCGGTCTGGTTTTTAGAGAAATACAATCACAGAATCTTAGGAGTTGTTTAAGGACAGTTATGGATTGTCGTGTAATCTGGGAGATATGGTTATTCCAGGAGAGGTTCTGGTCAAAAGTTACTCCTAGGTTTTTGACAAGGAAAAAACTGTACAGGGCGGTTATTGAGGTAAACTGGTGAATATGCCGATACAGTGTTTGTATACGATTTTTGCAATACTAATGCTGCCTGTCGTGAATATGCCAGGCGATTCCCGAATAGAAGATTACGAAATAAGTCTATCTTTAGCTCCACATTTCAACGTCTTAGAGAAACTGATACATTTGCTATAATGCCACGTGCTGATGGTATTTTTGCCCCTTTACGAAATGAAGAAAGGAGTGCGACCGTACTACAATATTTTGATGATAATCACGTTTAATTAATAAAGTAGTTGGAACAAATAAATAAGTTTTATTTACTTAATATATTGTAAATAATTCATAACAATGAAAATCTTTAGGTGTGAATATCTCCTAAGCAAAGAGTTAGCAGAAACACCTTCATAGGAATTTTTTTTTCTTGTTTTGAGATCCTTAATTCATATTCTCAGTTTCGCTACTTAACCCTGAAACACCCAGTATACCGGTATTTTGATTCATAGAGACAATGTTTCTAGAGTTGATTATAGTTTTAATTTTTTAAAAGAATAATTGCTATAATATTGATCAATGTATTTATTAATGATATATTTAAGAATTATAGTATTGAAGGAAGCAGGTAGGACCTTAGAAATTGCACGTCCACAGAAAATTATGAAAGAGAACTACCCCTCTATCGCTGTAAAAAAAAAAAAAAAATGCAATTTAGGAGAAGAAAATGAATGAGACACATGAAATATATTATATATTACTTTATATTTGGATTGGAATCTATTCAATATATCTCTAATTTAGTTGCTTTATTAATTATCTTAGTAATTTTTTGTAATTCACAACAGATAGACCAGTGCACGTTATAATAGTGAAATGTGCCCAGGTTACCCTTAACTTAAGCAGGCAATTGAAGAACTTATTTCCAGAAATAATGGTTTCATAATATTGATGTCTTAACATTACATAAAAGAATAGAGGAATTTTTAAAATAAATGACTTGTTATACTAATGGCTTTGTTTAAAATAATATCAATGAAAACCTAATTATTTTTTTTGTTATAAGTTATTTTCATACAGTTTGTATTTGGATTATTTCTTTATCATTAAACACCTATTTTGTTTTACCAAAAGAAGTATTCATATAATAATATCTAGAGCAACAAAATCAGCATACATTTGAATACAGCATTCAATGGAAAAAAATAGTTGTTAGTAATATAAATATTATTAACAAAGGGCATTATTAAAAGTTTTGCTTTTGTATCTAAATAATGAATTATTAAAACCTGTAGCCCATAAAAATATATATTCATATTACAAAGCTTATGATTTAGTATAGGCATTTGTCTATAAAAACAACTTTATTTGTATATATTTGAATAATGAAGAAGGTAGTTTATTATTAAACATACCAATGTTCTCTATGGCTGGTCTCGGATCTACTATTACAATTTCTGCTTCAAGAAGTGCAACATCAGCCCCAGGATCCACTTCTGCCATGGATCCTGCCAATCTGACAAGTGGCCATCCTTCGAGTGAGAACTCCGAACAGATTGGTACAAGAAGATCTGATACTATGCTTCCAACATCGCCTGTCAGCTGAAAAGTAGAAAATAGTATTATTTTTGGTTTTATTTCTGGACAAGAAGTAGCAAATTGCTAATTAATTATTCAGTACTTTTAAGGTGAAAGTTTATTAATTATTAATAATATTGCTAGGAAGTAAAATGAGCAGTTATCCACCGTTCTCAGACTAAATGGCCAGGTATCTTGTTAATCTATTTAATGGTTGAACTTCAATAGAAGAGTGTGTAATAGGGACCCTTATTTCATTTTACAAAATTCTGAAAAATTATAAAATAAAAAAATAATTTTTCATATTAATCCCAAGAATTGAGAAAAAAATGTTAATGTTTAAAATAATAAATCAACATTGCACTGTCTAAACAGGAAACAAATCTCTTCTTAG